GGTCAGGGCTCCAGAGAGAGGAATTTCCGGACAATACGCGCCGTGTCCAGAAGTACTGCTTTCTGCATCAGGTCCTTGACCCACCCATCTAACGCTAGCCTACTCAGATGTTGGACGAGGCTTTTAGCAATGAGGCCATTGGCAGATACGACTATCGGCACAATGACTGCTGAATCCACATTCCACACGTCGACAATCAAGATATTTACTTGTTTTATTATTATTAGAAAAAGGTTCTTAGGACATAAAAATCCTGAAAATCCTACTGGAACGTGAGAAAACGGGATTGCGCGAACGAGGTCGCGGCAGGAGCTAGTAACAAATGATAATAAGCTCACCTGGTTTCTTGTGTGCACGACGTTCTCGAGAGCGTCGTGGACCTGTGAAATAAATAAAATAGTCAGTCGATAGATTATGAAGTAGTACTTGTTCTTAATATAAAAGGTACCAAGACTACGGTTCTTCACACACAGTAATGGCACGGATACGGCGCGGCAGAACACGGCGCTTATTTTATTTTTTACTAGCAACCCACCCCCGCTTTGCACGAGTGCAATATACATGTATTATACATATAAACATTCCTTTAGAATCACTCTATCTATTAAAAAAACTGCATCAAAATTGCGTTGTTTTAAAGATCTAAGCGTACATAGGGACAGACAGACGGCGGATAGCGACTTTGTTTTATACTATGTAGTGATATATTTTTATTTTTAGCCAAGGTCGTCTTATTGCAGGGTTAAGGCCTGTCTACCCCACGCTTATAGCTTACATTGTTTTTTTCTAAAAACTTTGCCCCGCACTGTGATTTTCTCCTGTGTCGTGGATGCGATTTCAAACGTACAAGTTCACATACACATGACACCCAGACCGAGACCATCAATTTGTGGGTCACACAAAGAGTTGTTTCGTGCGGGAATCGAACCCGCGCCGCGACACGTTGTGCGGCAATCAGTTGCCTAGCCACCTCAACCGTGCCGTCTGGTCTCTATTATGAAATATACCATACGACATAAGATTTTATGTTCAAATTTAAACGATAAGTTAATTGCTGTGTTGGAGCAGTGACGTTAAAGCGTGATATGGCCTTATTAGTCTTAAGACGGAAAAAGCCAAGCGTTACTATGAAACATTTTTTTCCAAGTTTATTGTTTTTATTTTATATCCCAAATCTAGAACTCCATCGCAGCCGGCAACAAAACCACGCCTTGTACATTATTATGAAACTTAAAGATTTTTACTTGTCTGCCTCGTTGGCCGAGTCGTCGCAAGAGTGACTACCGGGCAAGAAGCAAGGTCGGGCAAAGTACTACTGGGTTTTAAAAAAAATCTCAGTAGTAGCACAGACTCTGGTATTGTGCCCGGTATATGGCACTAGGCTCACCCCCTATTACATGGGACTCATAACATAAATAGTGAAAAATGTGGCTTCCATTGTGCAGTATCATTAAGTGCCGTAATGTACAAGGGATAGGCAGCACCCCTTCGGGTATAAAAGGAATGTTACAAAATTTTAGATATTCCAATTATGAAATGTACATGTTAGGAATAAAAGGTTATAAAGTACTTGGTAGGTTAGTATACTAGGATGAAAAAAGGTCAGTCTAAATCAAAATAAACTTACAATGTTAAGTACGATTCTTGTTAGTTTGCGTGTGTCTCTGTAGACGCGTTTGTGCGGTTTCTAAACCTGTAACATCAACAGCCTATAATTCCCACTGCTGAGCAAAGCCTCTTCTCGCACGGAGAAGGTTTGAGTAATAATCACCATGCATATCATGTTCATGTGTATTTATATATGTATTTTAAATAATCAAACTTTAATTTTGATCGATTATTTATGTTAAGGATTTTGTTTACATAAATAACTTGTTCTAGAATTAGTAATATTGTTAGAGCTCCTCTCGTCTGTGATACAGGATAATCTTCCTAGTACAGGCATTCAAACTTGGTGAGATCTCTGATTTTAAATTAAGATGTTTATCTGTACTATGACTAATTTATTACAATGAATATCGATTTTTTTTTATTGATTGTCGCACTAAGATCTAGTCATCTCCGCGTAGAATTCAAGTCAAAAATCGATCGAAGGCTAAAAATTAAAGAATTAATATCGGTTGTCTAAATCGGCAATATGATCCAGATCATCTCCGCGGCCGGAATGAGTTATTGACCTGTGAAGTGTCGGAATGCAGACCGACGCGAGACACAATAAGTTTTCTATTGTGTCTCATATATTGGTATCCATGAATTAAACTTAATTTAGTTGTAATGATAAATGTATTAGGAATTTTAGTTGTAAGGCATAGATATCAAAGCTACTTATTATACGTACATTCTCCTTCAGGTATGCAGACCCCATTATCATCTCTAGCGAATCCTTCATCGCAGTAACATGCATCATTACATCTAATGTTGACAATAGGGCACACAGTGCCCAGCGTGGCACAAGTAGTTTGACACGCACTGCCACACTCATAGTGTTCATTTTCCCGATCACATACCAATCCTGCAGATGTTACATAATTTATACTTATTGTTACAAAAAGAAGAAAAAGTTTCACTGACATTTTTGAAACCATGTTTTTAACTAGTGAATTGACAGTTGAATTAATACGATATTAAAATGAGTACAGATCACGACGTCTCGTGGCCACGAATGATCTCTTATTAAGTCAAAACAAACGATAAATATATATATACTTGAACAAGCATTAGTAACAGAATTACGTCATAGAGGTAGTATGAGGAAAACAGGTATTTCTTGTAAACATGACACGCTATTAATTATTTTTTTACCTACAGGTTTATCGACAGTGTAGACATGCCCAGTATAACATTTAAGTCCATACTCTAACATTTAACTATCCATGTCAAGAAAAAGTGCCTTTGACAAAAGTAAAACCTCTAAACTATTTTTAAAAAAAATGGCAACTTTAAAATAAAACCTCACATCTAAACAAAAGTTTTGTGTAAATCTAAAAGTTGACTTACTAGGCCGAGGATTTCTCAGTTTCTTATTTACTAGACCTGTGTATAAAACAAATAATTGTTAGCGTTAACTACTTACTTTTGGAATATTGAAAAGATGAAAGCAAAATCTAGCATTCTTCGTGAATGCTAGAAACAAAAATATTGAAAGCCTTCCTTCAAAGAGTATGTATAGACTAAGGTGTTAAACAAAATTAATCTTTATATAATAAAGACAGTACCTACTTAAATATGTTACACAATATACATGTCGCAGAGAACCTAACGGGTAACCGGGGCTCCGGCACCCAGGCGGGAGCAGTCATTCGATGATTTTCCCCCCTTAAAAAAACACAATATACATACACATCAGTATAGGTATACATCTTCCTCTGGAGTTTCGTGCAAATCCCAAATCACAGTAACAACCATCATGGCAGTTAACGTTGGGAATCGGACACACGATGTCCAACGCGGCACAAGTTTTTTGACAAACGCTACCACACTCATAGTGCTCATTTTGACGATTACATACTCGTTTTGCTAATTTAAAACAATTTACGTTCATTAAAACTAAAAGTAAAATTAACTTCGCTATCATTTTATTCCGCTAAAAGATAACTTTAGTATGTAATAATGTATAACTATTAAACTTCGATAAATGAACGCATCTCACGACTTCTTGTGATCACGAATGGTCTTTACAATAAAAGAAATTATCTAGTCAACCCAATAATTGACGCAAACGATAGAAAAAATATAGTTACATAATTATAAACACACATAGTTATTGAATGTCACTATAGAAATTAGCGGAATGAGGATATTGTCAACAATGAAAAGGAATTTATATCCAGCAGTGAATGAAAATGATTAAATTTATGATACGTTAATGGCAGTTAGTATGTAAACATAATGTACAGAACTATTTAGATCGTAGTATGTTGGACACTCCCAACACAGCGATACGCGATACAGACTGTCAATTCAAATACAAATAAAATGAAGAAATTTTTGTTATATCCTCTTTAGATCATGTAAGACAATATTTCTCTTGTATAATATAAAGAAAAGTATAATACTAACTAGACGAAGTAAAAACATTAATTTAATTTTTATGGGATCACCTGATGGTAAGCAATCGGCGTCCCCTATAGACACCCGAAACACCAGAGGCGTTACAAGTGCGTTACCGGCCTTTTGGGAATTGGGAATTTGAGGATAGTGAGGATTCGGGGATTGGGGAGACTGGGGAGGGGGGTTGTAATTGGGCCCTTCACCTTAAATGTTTTTTTTGTTATTTCAGGTAAGCTATTCTGTTCACTATAGGTATTATACTAAACCTTAATAACCTAATGATGATGTCAATAAAAGAATTTTGTTATTTAATAAAACGCAATTACGTCTTTATTACACTTAAACATAATATTACCATTATAAGTATATTAAAACATTTATAAATATATAACTCATGGTAGCTTTTTATATTTGGCCAATGTTTGGCCACTTTATTGACTTAATAATTGTTTATGCTACGTACTCCGTGATCAATTTAAAAGCGAATGCAATTATGAAGCGATGACACACCAATTCCATGCGATGCGGTGCGACGCGGCGCGGCGGCTACGTGCATGCGAATCATTTCTTTTCGTTTTTATTTCCGTCATTATAACCAAACAAAAACTTGACAGCACCACCTCCAAATATGACAGTTCATGCGAAAATATCAAACCAACTAATTGCGTCCGCGATTATGCTACATATATAAAATACATACATGTATGTATAATCCCGTCCGCGTCATTTCGCACCGCGCCGCACCGCATTCGCTTCTAGATCGCTCATGTAAGACGTAGCGTCAGCTTTTACTTCAATTAACTATAAAGATGCGACTATAAACCATAAGAAAATTGTGAAATTAAAATTATCTGTAATAGAACGCAATTTGAACTAGTCGACGGTATTTAACAATAACTTAATCTTGTTAAGGTATAATATCCTGCAGAATAAAGCAGAGTGTCGTCATGTCACTTACTAGACCGCCCAGTTCTGTGGGAGTTTGATGGGCCTGTAAAAAATATATTAATGTCATTATTAGGTAATTGCAATATTTATACATCAAATTATTGTACATCAAATCTGTTGTTTAATGTAACAGTGATAAATGCCAATGTTAATAAAAATATCGAAACAAACTCCCAATGCTCAGATATCTATATAAAATATTTCATAACATAACATCACGCCTCTTATCTAATTCATTGTATCTATTGTTGAAAATGGGGCACACTGTGCCCAGCGTGGCACAACTTGTTTGACACGCACTGCCACACTATGCTAATTTAGTCGATTACACTGTATTACCATTGACATAAAACGTATGCTAAACTGCACAAATGTTCATTATTGCAACTTCGAAATTAAGGGTACCGATTTTACACCAATAAATTAACTTACAAGACCGGCGGCGAGTTGTTGTTACTTTTGTCGATTTTGGTGGACCTGTGAAACAAATAATGCTGTTACTTAAATGCTCTATTTTCATTGGAAGATCCTAAAGTAAAAGGCAAACATACTTACATTGTGCTTCAGGTATGCAGGTCCCGTTGGCGTCTCTAGCATAGTTCTCATTGCAGTAACAGTCATCATTGCATCTAATGTTGACAATGGGGCACACATCGCCCAGTGTGGCACAAGTTGTTTGACACGCACTGCCACACTCGTAGTGCTCATTTGGACGATTACATTGTACTGCTGTGAATAAAAAAAATATGTTAAACTACATAAATGTTTATTATGACAACTTCGCAAATAAGGGAACTCGCTTCATATCAATAAATTAACTTACTTTGGCGAGTTCTTCGTGCTCTTGTCGAATTTTGTGGACCTGTAAACCGAATAATGTTGTTACTTACATGTCATATTTTCTTTGTCAAACTAAAATGCAGAATAATTAGATGATAACTTTGGTACAAATCATACTTACATTCTTCTTCAGGTATGCAGGTCCCGTTGGCATCTCTAGCATAGTTCTCATTACAGTAACAGTCATCATAGCATCTAATGTTGACAATGGAGCACGTGGTGCCCAGCGTGGCACAAGTTGTTTGACATGCACTGCCACACTCGTAGTGTTCATTTGGACGATTACATTTTATTTTCGCTGGGAAAAATGCAAATGAATTTATTAATTCACCCTTTTTTAAGATCATTTTGTACTCCACGCCATTGGTATAAGGTATTTTGTAAACAATTTTTAACTCAATTGTTTTCCATGATTAGGAATTGTTAGGCATATATCAAAAATGCATCTTATGAAAAAAATGTAAAAAAAAAAACAATGTCACGTGGGTCAAACCGAGAATCTAACCTGGGACTCGTTACTAGTTACAAAAGAAGTAGTCAGACGGCAACAATAAGTAGCGTACTCACACAGCGTTAAATGCATACATTAATTCGTTCTTATCAAAAAAATATACCTACCTTCGTCGTTTTTATTTTAAAAATAAACAACATTTTTCCCTCTAATTAAATAAGTTCACCAAACGGTCTTCGATAAGAAGTTAAGATATTATGCAAGAAATAAAATAGTACAATGTAAAATATGTACAGATAATAATATATTTTCATTAAAAACATTATAATTAGAAATGCAAGTAGGTAAATGAACAGGCTTTCCGCCAATTTTGGCATATTTATAGGAAATCAGTCCAATTACTACTTTAAATGTCGTATGATAAAGTACATTTTTATACAGTTTATGACAGTACAGTTGTATGACATACGGCGTCAACATTTCATGATTCTATATTACTAGCTTTTACCCGCGGCTTCGCTCGCGTCACAAAAGGATAAAAAGTAGCCTATGTGACATATAGCAATACACACAGCGCCATCTATACCAATCATTTCGTTTTCCCTCGAGAATAACAAATTTTTCCGGGATAAAAATTACCCTATTATTTAATCCGGACTTCTAACTATACATCTGCAAAAAGCAATCGGTTTAGTAGTTACGGCGTTAAAGTGGAACAAACAAACAAACTCACTTTCCGATTTATAATATAAGTAAGGATAAGTAAGGATATTTTTCAACTAATTCACGTAACTGTTTGACAAGGAGCTCGACTAGTTTCAAGCCATCCTAGAGGTTCTTATTCATGAGTTGTATTCCGCGACATAAGACGCGGCAACTGTCGTGCAGCTACTCTGTTATACAGTTACATGATTAAGCCGTAAAACATAATAATTTCACATATCTCACAAAAGTTATAATACAAACATTTCGTGACAAATTCATCACTGTAAAAGGGATATAGCAACATGGTACCATTTAGACAACAGAATGGAGTCAAATTTCGTCGTCTACGCTTAAGCAAGCCGAATATCGGATACTCCTACATTCAATAGTAACATATTTTAGTGTATGCTCTATTTTTCATCATCGTCATCAATATCGCAGCCAGTGGTCGATCACTGCTGGACATAGGCCGCTTCAATGGCATCAGCTCTTCTCCAAGCACTGCCACTCACCTTCCGGATATCGTCACTTCACCGGGCTGGAGAGTAGCTTTTCTCAGGATATTTTCGTGAGTAATCCGTAGTTTTTAGTTAATTTAACATAATCTACATACCTGCTTCAATTCCCGATCTCCAATATATCACAACAAACCAGGATAATACCAAAGACCTCCACATGTTGACGTCCTTTTCCGTTATAACGCAAGCTACAACTGCTTTGAACATTTATACCTGCTGTAATAGTTTTAATTTATCTATAAACAATTAAACTATTTACATATATCGGGTTTTGCAAAATGAATTAGTAAATAAATACATTTTACCTATTTTGTTTGTTGGTAAAACGATCGTCACCCGGTAGGTAGATACTATAGGAATTTGCGATAGAGGAAGGATTGAACCTTCAGCAACTTCAGCGAAAAATAGTATAAAAATGTTGCACAGCTAAACTAAATAATATTATAAACAAAAAGCAAGTTTACTTCTTTTTTATTTCAGCGTACTCGCAATAAAGCAATACCAAATTAACAACATAATGACGTTTTTTACATTCATAATGTCACGATTTTTAATGCCTCTAAGTTGTAGGCGAAGGTGCAAAATACAATGGATGGTATATATGTAGAACAAGCCCACCACAACTTCCAAAACACCGCTGCAACTCCTGTACACCAGGGTATTTTTTTAAGGAGGGAAAAATCATCGAATATCTTCTCCCGCCTGAGTGAGGCGGAAGGGAGTGTGCGTGTAGTTGCATCACCTTAATAAAGTGTAATGACGGGCCATGTCACGCGACAGATGTCCTTCGTGTCAATGTTTGTGTATTCTGCGTGTAAGTCTATAGCAGCCAGCTACCACAGTCGTTGTTTCAAGAGACTGCGTTCACCATTTTTTAACATCCTTGCCGCTAAATATGTACTCAGAAACAAATCAACCATTCCTACCAAGGTACTAAAATACAGGCTCAAAAAACAAACATAAACACACGTGACTTGTAGCCAGGCTAGAGTTGAGGGAAAAACATCGAGCAAGCTATTAAAACAAAAACTAGTTTCAAATTATACTGGTTAAGTTTGAACTTGAAATAAAAATAGACCTGGTAGGATAGACTTACGAAGTGAGTTCCGTACAGTATTATTTTAAATAGCATACCAATAAAATTAAAAATATTGTACTGAATAGTCTGAAACATAGGTTCAACCTAGTTCAGGCAAATAAGCTACTGAGCTCTAATCAAATCGTTAAGATACTATTCATGCAATTATGACCCTTTTTTAAAAAAAAAAACATTTTTTTTAATAAAAGACGAAATTAAATTACTTTCAACTTGTAATATATAATCTGTTATGATGATTTACATTTCGGCGCGAATGTATCGGTTCAACCTGAATGACACCGTGGTCTCATAAAGAACCGGTGGCGTCAAACAACGCTTGAGTTGTGTTTTTTCTCTATATAGCAGTAGGGAAAATTTTCATGGAGACTCATATCATTTCAAAAATAGGTAGGTGTGAGTAGATACTGCCGGACTCTTAACCGCTAAAACATACATGTATACATATATCTCCGGCCACCCAGTGTATATAGAGGTATGTATAGCCCGAGCGAACAACGCGCGCCTCAAAGAGCCATGAGACCACCACAGATGGAGCCCAGTAGGGCTGAAACTCAATGCGGAACCGCGGAGAACTTAACGAGTTACCGGGGCTCCAACTCGAAGAGCGGGACCAAGAATAGGAACTGGTTTTTAGTGAGTAAGAGTCTGACACTCCCTCTCACCTCACCAAAGGCGGGAGAAGTCATTGGATAATTTTCCCCTTAATAAAAAATGGGTGTAGGCAGAGACTATGAAATGCCAATTGCTACGATTCTTACATACTTCTTTCGTTCATCACCAGTCATTAGTCTTTTCACCGGCTAAAACCTACTCTCACTATGCCGAAGTGCTCCGCTGACATGATCTCTTCAAACCCCAAATCCCAAAGAAGCCGATATCTCCTCTGTTGTATTTATAATTTACTAAGGGGATAAGTTTATCTACCCAACAGTCACTACTTTAACTCGATACTTGTGAATTTCCGTTCTCCAAGTATTTTTTATTTAAAAACTCGATCTAATTAGAAGGAAATTACTACGCAAATAACTCGAATATTATTATTATAATAACAATTTGATCGATAACACATGGAACCCTGAAACTGGTATAAATAAAGCAGATTGGTTGAACTTCCATTGGTGTTCAAACCAGTTGAGTGAGCAGACGTCAAGATGCTTAAGTTCATCGTATTATTTTCCTGTTGCGTCGTGTTATCTGCCGCATATACAACTAAAGGCAAGTTTTTGTACATTAACATCTGCGATAAATCATCTACGTACATGTACATACCTCTAATTTTTTTCGAAATAAGAACAGTCATGATTATCATTTTTTTATGACAGACGTCAAATAGTACAAAGAGGTTAGCTGTTTGGCGCCTTTTTTGCATTCTTAATTCAAAATCTTGCATTCAAATGACTCGGTTTTTGTGCCAGTGTTTTGTTACTGATTAATCATCATTTTTTATTATAGATAAAACGATACACCAAAATGTTTAATACAATTTTATCGTTTTCTTCAGTACAAGAGATTTTTCATACCTTAAATATGTTTATCGATTTAAACATTATACAATAAACAAATAATTCGTGTATAAAATGCATAAAGTACTTTAAAACGAAGCGACTATGAATGTGAGTACAATATTTAATAAAAAATACGCTTCTACTATCAATTTAGTGACCGAGAGAACAGTAATCACATAATGACAAGTGCAATTTTCCAACAATGAAAAACAAAATAACAGTAAATGTTGTAGGAAAATGTGTGTTTGCGGTGTTCCCCGAGTCCATGAGAAGATTCACTGGTGTTCAACTTGGGGAAGTACTAAATCTATACTACCCGTGTTTTGTGACGTCATAATATTATATATTGTAGATAATTACTGACCATGTATTTATTACTGGGTCCGTGAGGCTAGTAATAAAATATATTATTGCTATTTTGTATATTCATTTAGGTACTAAAATTATGATATGTGCACGACTGATAACAACTAGAGATACGGATACTAGTAGTGTAGTAATCTATAATAGATTTTCAACCTTAACACAAAACTGTAGAGTACAAATTAACAGTTTTAGGGTAGCTTGTTATGCTGGCTTCTAAGTGTTCATATGTATCTACAATCTGGTAGTTGAAGTAGTAGAGCTGTATTTAATGAGCAGTAAAATAGTGGCTGAGAATTTTCACAAAGGAGAATGCCCATGGACAGTACTCGTGATAAATTACTTGTGTCTCAAAATCTCTAATCACTTTGAATGATATTTACATTGGGATAGTTTTTTGAAAATTAATTAGTAATTTTATGTTTCCGAAGTTATAGTACGCCATTTATAGGTATGTCTGTGCCGACACATGTCAAATGACAGCATGGCAGTTTACGCACATAGACTATCGATGAACGATCCTCCTTTTTCGATCTTAAGGAACTTTACTCTCCGTTCCCTTACTTTTTTTTATTGTATTCTATTTTGTTGTATTGATTGTTCAATCTATTATTATAAAGTAACAACATTCACTGTAAACGGCGGCATCAGCACCATGTTGTATTTGTGAAATACCACTGGCTGGTTTACAGAAATAGAAAAAACATCGATCGTTCACCATTATGGGTAGAACCTTATTTGACGTTTATTGCGCGTCTGTCATATTTTTGCAATACAATACTAATACTGTTATTTCTGCTGATTTTGGTATGTTCTGCGTCGAGTCGAGCCTTTTAGTTCCTCCGTAATTCCTGTCAATCCATTGAAAATAAACATACTTTTAACGCCGCAGCACCGTGTGTGTTGTTTATCACTAATAACTGGACTTTTTGAGTTCCTTACGATCATGCCGAGTGCGACTGTGATGCAATGTCTCAACTGCTCATAGAAAAAGAAATAGTAATAACCTAACATAACATCACGCTTTTTATCCCCGAAGGGGTAGGCAGAGGTGCACATTATGCCACTGTACAATGATGTAACACCCACTTTTCACTATTTATGTTATGAGTCTCATGTAATAGGGGGTGAGCCTTTATTGCCATATACCGGGCACAGTTCCAGACTCCGTGCTACTACTGATAATTTTTTAAAAACCCAGTAATACTTCAATCGGCAGTCGCACTTGCGACCACTCGGCCAATAAAATAAGAAATAATCATTATTTTATTTATTGTATTGGTTTTTGTTTGTTTTCCTTCTCTCTGTAGGTATTTATAAAGGCCATGTCATGATACCTACCACATCTAGGTATGATTTGAGTAGGGCCTAGATATAACACAATTTTCAATTGTCTTAAGAACTAACTTACACTACTTACTTATAGGGCGAGGTGTCACACACACTACAGACTATTTTAGTAACGGTTCCTTCCATGCTTTGCAATTTCATGAAACGCGGGCGTTAGATTAAAAAATGAGCAAAATCTAAATCAATAAGACTCGGTGAGGTAGACACATGTGTCCACCAGTAACTGGCCACCTGACATAGTTAACACATTACAGATTTTACACAAATAAGTATGCGTCAAAGATACCAAGCCATAAAAACCCATTCAGACCCTTTTAAATAGCTTTTATCAGTTAATTTTTGGTCGGACATAACCTCAAAATAGTAATTTTATTTTGTGAATATCTCGAAACTGCCAATGTATTTTGTGTTACATCTTTTAAGGTAGTATTTGGACATGCCATCGAATATTTTAAAGATTATTTCATGGAGACACAACAATGTTGAATTCAGTACATTTGTCCATAGTGCCGTGGGCATTCTCCTTTTATTTATTCATTTATTATAAAAATCTTCCTACACTCTCATTACAGGATTTTCCCAATTCGACAGTGACGCTTAATCTAGTAAAAAAAAACATATTTATATTACTAAAAAGTAATACAACGAAAACAAAAAAAAATTTAAACACAATGATAATAAAGTAGGCCTTACAATATATACACATTACATCTTAACCTATTAAATTACCTACCTTACATAATAATAACTAAAACTAACCTAAAATTACATAAAAATAATATAGAGGTACAATAAATAGTAGGAACTATTCACTATCATAACTTAAAATAAATAATAGTACTTATGTGAATTCACTCGACGGAGTTGTAAATACATCAATACGATCGTGGAGCTTATTAATGGTATGGATTGTGCGAATTAAAAGCGAAAAGAATTGAAAAGCTGGATAATTACTTAACCAGACGCGGAAGACTGGGAACTCCAGGACTCTTGCACAGCTGTTACAAGTACCTATGTAACAAACAATATTTCAATTATACATTTTAAATATTATTCTCATTATAGGTAAAGATCTAAAATGTGGGAAGCACGAAGAAGTACTGTGTTTACACTCGTGCCCACCTGTGAAGACTTGTCAAAATTTGTACGTCGCATTTTCTTGTGTCACGCCCACCGAACCATGTGAAAACCAATGTGTCTGCAAAGATGGCCGCGTGAGGAACGCTAAAAATGAATGTGTACCTGTTGAAAAGTGTGGTAAGTATCTATATTTATAGGAGAACGAGCATACTGATCACCTGATTGATGGTAAGCAATCGGCGCCACCTATGAACACTGCTGCGATGGAATAGGGTAGATGCCTAATTTTTATTTTAATGTCCGTCTGGTAGATTAATTCTAATTATTAGACACGTATTTTTTTATTTTCTTACAGAATTGAATTGTTTTGACGATATATTGATTTGAAATGTCGCGTGACGTCACTTCTATGTACATTTTATACGTAGAAATGACGTTTTAGCCCCCACTCCTAAACTTTGATTCGTTTTATCTAAGTATTGTTTTCTTATACGACAAAAAAAAATACGTGTCTAATATTTTTTCATTTTCAACTTACGGACTAATTATATTTTTAATTTTCATACCCTGTCATCATTCCAATTATATGTATGTCTGTTACCGGCCTTTGAGGGGAGTGATTGGGCTTCCGTTAACATTACTCAAGCCGTCTAATACCTGTCAAAAACTTGACTAAAACTAGTAACGCATCTCAGTTTTTTTGTAATATTTCTTTCTTTGTAATATTTCTTTTTTTATGGCATAAGCCGGTATACGAGCAGACGGATCACCTGATGGTAAGCAATCGGCGTCGCCCATGGACACCTGGAACACCAGAGCCGTTACAAGTGCGTTACTGGCCTTTTGGGGATTAGGAGTTTGAGGATCGTTGGGGATTCAGGAATTAGGGAAATTGGATTTCTGACATTTTAAGTGTCAGTCTTTAAATGAAAATTAATTAGCAAAATTCGAACGATCATGTTCAAGATTTACGCTTTTTGTAATTTTTATGTATTTTTTTTGCAGAACCATTTGTATATGCTGACAAATCAGAAGATATAATCAATATACCTTACTATAAAGATATAGTATACGAGTGAAGATTAAATATACATATAAATAACTTTGTATCGTACATGAAAAAATTATCCTGAAGCAATACTTTTAAAATTGAGATTTATACGTTCTTCAAAAATTTACTCATATTTTATAATTCTATTTTTGTACCACATTGAAAATTATTATTTAAATAAACAATTATATTTTTTATTATTTTTCTTTTATTTTTATATACCATATCGCCTTTATGTGAAAATAACTACTATTAATAAAATTATAATTATGGTGAACAAAATGATTCGTTTTTATAATAAAGGTAATTTACTTTTATCTCTTAAATGAAATAAAATACCAAAAAATACATTATGTGCACTTAGTACAAATCTAATAAAAACATAAATAGATCTCGTAATAAATAAATAAAAATAAATATTACACCTCAACAAAAATACGTTATTTTTTAAATCTTCAACATTATTCGACGTTAGTATGAATACCTGAATAATTATGAAATATGCATGAAATAAATATTAAATAGTAGAGTAAATAATAATTATTTGATTTTTAACTATAACATTATTAACGCAGTAAAGCTTAAAATGCAGTCGCCTACCTAACCTTAACTAACATTTTAACAAATTGGTAAATAAATTAAACGTCTATTAATGGAAAACTAATCAAAAATTAATATGTCTACTCCGTTTCAGAACCGAAATGTCCAGGTCCAAACGAAGTATACACGACTTGTAAAAAGTCCTGTCCTCCAGAAACATGTGTCTCCCTCGTGGCCAAGTTCAGCTGTGATGTCAATGAAGCTTGTCAAAATGGCTGCGTCTGCAAGCCAGGGTTCTTAAGAAAATCTCTGGGATCTCCTTGTGTACCCATCTGTCAATGTCCTGAGATGAAGTACTCTCCAGATTGTAAAAAGAATTGAGAAGAAAAAGGTTAAACGATTCATCACCTGCCAGTATTTTGTTGGATCATTTATTTAAGAATAAGTCATAATTGTGTATTGTTATTTAATAAATATTTAATCACTGAATGATTATTGCCTTGTCTCTTGATTACTTAAAGCCATCGCCTTGTGAAACTGTTTCAGGAAATTTATTAAGCTACTTATAAGCAACGTATTTGATCTAAACCAAAATCGTTATGAGTCAAATCAAATCAAATCAAATCATTTATTTGCACAAATCATGGTAGGTAACAAGATGTTGAATAAAAGGGGATTTATTTACCAAATGGGTATTTCCCTTAACCAAAAATAAATTATTTCGATTGTTCAATACAATAAAATATTAAAAAGTAATCACACTTTCATTAATTGATTTTATTACCAACTTAATTTTATTATATTATTACATGAGACTCATAACATAAATAGTGAAAAGTGGGTGTTAAATTGTACACTGACATAATGTACACCTCTGCCTACCCCTTCAGGGATAAAAGCCGTGATGTGATGTTATGTTAATTTCACTATTTTTCCAGAAAACTTTTAAGGAATAAGTATGTTGTTTGATGGTATAAAAACGTGACGTCACAATATACAAACTCTCACTAAATTCATAGAAAACTGTCGTTTTCACCAGTTCGAAAAAGTATTGAATTTGAACAGTTGGCAAGTACCTAATTCAATGTGTTAATAAAACAATGTTTATTTTGGACTACAGAACAGATTGTAATAAAATATGTAAAAAAAATGCTGTATATCTTATTAAAGAAAAGAAAAATAGTACCTACCTACCTGATTTAAAACATACGAAAAGAATTACTGTTACATCTTTTCCTATTAAAGTATAAGAACGCTAGATCCGCACAAATAACTAAACAACCAAACATCGTAGTAGAGCCATCTACGGATTTTTATGCTCGTTCTTCTCCATAGGAATCTACACCTTGGAATAAGCTAGCTTTACTAGCGTACTTAGCGTTTTTATTGACGTTCAAAAGTGCTGGTCTAATAGAAATAAATGATTTTGACTTTCAACTTTGATATCTTTCCAGAACCGATACCAAAATGTCCAGGTGAAAATGAAGTATACACAGACTGCAAACAAACATGTCCACCAGAAATCTGCTTCTCAATCGTCGCCTTTTATGACTGTTATGACAAACCAACTTGTGAGAAGGGATGCGCTTGTAAACCTGGATTTCTTCGCAAAGGAATGAACACATCCTGTGTTCCTTTGTGCGAATGCCCTCAACTCGTAAATGCCCCTGAATGCATTGCTGAAGAAACCAAGAAATCAAAATGAAAAGCAAACCAATTTTGATATAGGTTGGACGGAATTAGAACTAATTGACGCAAAAAAGAGAGAAACGTCCTAATGCGACAGTGGCGCCGTTTTTTGTCAATATGTGCTTATCTTTTTTAATCCGTAATCTCTTTTAATGACTCAGAATGTAAGAAAAGAAGACGAAGATTTTATTACAAAACGTGTTATCAATAAACGCATATTTCTTGTATAAGTAATTACCTATTTTTTCAATTTATTCATACTCTAAATTAAATTTATTCAATTTAGTACTAGAAGCCAACCCGATACCTACATCGGAAATAGAAATAAATATTAGCCCAGACAGCTAATAGCGTAATTCCAATAACATTCATTAAACATTTCAAGTGTTGGAGAGCCATGCTTCGGCACGAATGAGCCGGCTCGACCGGAGTGATACCACGGCCTCATAGAAAACCGACGTGAAGCAACGCTTGCGTTGTGTTTCGTCGTGTGAGGGAGGTTACCGGAGACCCAATTACCCTCCCCTTCCCCAATCTCCCCAATCCCTGAATCCCCAACGATCCTCAAACTCCTAATCCCCAAAAGGCCGGTAACGCACTTGTAACGCCTCTGGTGTTCCGGGTGCGTCCGGTCTGCTCGTTTACCGTCTTATGCCATAAAAAACACAATTGTGATTGGTTTTACATTTAAAAAATTTAGCTATTTTTTACTTATACATTACTCAGTAAAGTGATTCTTCAAGATGAACAATTTGAACAAATAAAATACATAAAAAATTTTATGGCATTAAATTTTTTTTTATTTTAATCATGGACATAAAACAAATTTCACTAATGCAGATAAGAATATTTATTGAGACATCAGATAAACCAAATAGCATTTGAGCGTCAACTGAGAGAAAAGAAAACTAAATAAGGCAAGTTCCGCTGTTCGCATCCACCCACCAGTTCCCGTCCATGTTACAGAACGCCCATTAAAAATTCTCGATAATAAGAAAACTATCACCATATAAGTAGTATTTAGTAGACATATCAACATAGACATTGAGCTTTCTATTCTCTCGATCCACTATAACTTAATTACTTTTTATTAACAGGTATGCAGTATGTAGTTGCGATGATGACGTTTTAAACAAAATGTTAAATTAATTTAAATGTACATCTTCGCCATATTCAGGTTCACACACATTCGGGAGCATCTCGAAGTTCCTCACAATAACATTTGGGCCAACATGGGTAGTATTCGTTTTGTTTAAACTGGTCTTTTTTGCAAACACATCCCGGTACACAGGGCTCAGTACAGTTCGGTTTCAGACTCCCCATTGCAGCGCAGGAATAGTCTATACAAGGGTTGGCGCACTCCGTGTACTCCTCGTTTTCAGGACATGCTGGTCCTAGAAATCAATAAACGAACGTCATACATTGGTAAGCACAGAGTTATACTGACGGATTTAAACAAGATTGAGAGGGTAGACGACTAATTTTTATTTTAATGTCCGTCTGGTAGATTATTTAAAAACATTAGACACGTATTTTTTCTTTTCTCACAAAAACGAATAGTTTCGAAGATATATTGATTTGAAATGTCGCGTGACGTCACTTCTCAGTACATTTTATACTAAGAAATGACGTTTTAGCCCCCACTCCTAAACTTTGATTCGTTTTATCTAAGTATTGTTTTATTATACGACACAATAAAAAAATACGTGTCTAATATTTTTTCATTACCTAACTTACGGACTAATTATATTTTTAATTTTCATACCCTGTCATCATCCCCTCAGATTAAACTCGTTTAAACTAACTATGGTCATTATCACAATGACGTTTAGTACTACGAAATAAATGAACGTTTAAAAGAGAGCTTGAAAACTTTAATTTCACCATTAGAATTGTAATTAAACTACAGTCTTACCACATTCTTCTTCTGGAATACACTCCCCACCCTCAGTCTTCCTGTAGTAACCCTCTTTACATACACATTTTGGGATACAGGGTGTTACTACTGCTAGACAATAAACATTTATTAAGCGTGTTTCACAAGTCTTCTCTGGCGGGCAACTATGTGTACATCGATTGAAGTATTCGTTTGGTCCACAATCTGTAAAATAAATAATAAATTAGTGTGAGATACTTAGGTATACATATTCCCACGACAAGCTTCTACAATTACAACGTTTGAATTGAACAGCCTTCATGTTCATGCAAACTAAACGCGTAGACAGTATTTCAGTTCGTGGATTTCTGCTTCAAAATTTTATTGCAAGGTTCCACTTCACACACGTTCATTCATACATACTTACATACATACATTGCAAGTTAAATAAAGCCTGTAAAATGATAATATTAATGTTTTGTCGTATTTTACACTTTTACAAACTTATTTTTATAGAATAAATGTTTATTAGTGAACCACGACAACACTGTTGGTTAAATAAGAACACAGGCAGACATTAATCAAGCTACTAATGAAATCAATATTACTTACCCATATGTAATGAAAATGGATCATCATCGTATAGTCCAAGCTGCCCCGCAGCTAGTCCCACCCAACAGACAGACAGCAGTACTGTACACCTCCACATGTTGCCGGCTCCTCGAGTATTGACGAGCCCGGCTTGTCACTGCTTATATATAGGTAACTTGCTCGAAGAGTCTCAACGTTATTTATACATAATTACGTCATCACAATTGATAAGGAAAATCTGCTCGCTAGCCAACTTGACGTCCAAAAGAAAAAATATAATGAGACGCCACTAGAGTAACTTAATACTCATAATATGTAAATTAGTAACATGAGACGATTAATTAAACAGTAAACAGCTTCATTTCACTTCTGTTAACACAAGTCATTGGGACTTTACTGTTAGTATGGTGTTCCATACACAGCAGGAATGGTGCAAACTCAGAGAGCACTGACTTATATTCATGTCTTGTAATGGTTCCACTAAAAAACTCAACTAAAGTATCGGATGCAAAAGTAACTCAAATGCGTTTTCAATATATAAAATTAAATATAAAACTACTTTAATAAGTAAAATTTTTTGGGATGCCATATAAAATTTATAATTACATAATATCGAATACTATAAAAACCATGTCCCTACTTAAGTTTAAAAAAGTCTTCACTCGCTATTACTGGAAAACTGCTATAAGACTGTAGATGATTTTGTAAATGACAATAATATTTTGTATTTTAGTTGTTTCTAGTTTTCTTTTGATGGGTTTGTCTGTGTCGCGAATTTGTTTTCTGGGAGTTTTTATTTTTGTTATTCGTTTGTATTATTTTAAACTTATTAACGCAGTTTAATATTTGTACTTGTCAGTTTAATATGTGTATTGTAATGTATTTGTCATTTGTAATTACAAGGTCTCATTCCATTTCTTCATTGATTTTGACTTTACACTCTATGACATTATTTCGATCATAAAAAATTAAACAAACAAAATACATACCATATTTGATGGCATTTATATAGTTTTATTTCTAATATTTAGGTACATTTCATTATGGACATAAAACACACATTTCATTATGATATAGAACAATGATGCCAATGCAGATTAGTAGATTCATTGAGACGTCAGCTGAACGATATAATGAATCAAAAATCATTTTAGCATCAACTGAGAGAATAGAAAACTAAATAGGGTAAGTATGACTGTTCACGTCCATGGTACGGAAAACCTTT